AAATAAAATCTTTTAGGAGACGAGATCTTCCTCTGTCACCCAGGCTGGAGTGCAATGGCATGATCATAGCTCACTGCAGCCTTGAACTCCTAGGGTAATTTTTAAATTTTTTATAGAGACAGGGTTTTACCATGTTGGCCAGGCTGGTCTCAAACTCCTGACCTCAGGTGATCCGTCTGCCTTGGCCTCCCAAAGTGCTGGGATTACAGGCGTGAGCCTCCGTGCCTGCCTCTCTTTCCTTTTCAGCTAAGCATTTTGAAAGGAAAATCATATTACATTTCTTCACTTCCCAAACATTCCCTAACTGGAAAGGTTATGGTACTGCCCTCACTGTTCCACTGAATATACCTTCATGGAGGGCATCCATGACTTCTTAATTGCCAAATCTAGTGAACATCCTAACACCTTTGATTCCTCATTCTACCGGACTCCTTTATTTATCTCAATAGTTTTTAGATTTCAGGGTTTGTTAAAACATATTTCTGGTTCTTACCTTCAGGGTGTCCAATTCAGTAACTCTAGGGCCTGCATTTCTGAAGTTCCCTGGTGATGCTGCTCTAGTTGGGGACTACATTTTGACAACCATTGTTTTATCTAATAATAATGACTATTCTCTCCTTGAAATATACTGCTCTTTTTGATTCTGTAACAGTATATTCTCCTAGTTTTCCTACTAATCACTCATCTATGAAGAAAGCAATCAAAGGGGACCTAAAAAAGATAAATTTTGAAAAGCTTTTATATATGGAATGACTAATGCTTATAGAGGCCAACTGACTTTTCATTTAAATGTTCTTTTTAGCCCTAATGGTGCTGACCAACTTAACTTTTTTAAAAAATAAGAAGCCGGGTGCAGTGGCTCCCGGGAATCCCAGCATTCTGGGAGGCTGAGGTGGGTGGATTGCTTGAGCTCAGAAGTTCGAGACCAGCCTGGGCAACATGGCAAAACCCTGTCTCTACAAAAAATACAAAAATTAATCAGTCATGGTGGCATGCATCTGTAATCCTAGCTACTTGGGAGGTTGAGGTGGGAGGACTGCTTGAGCCTGGGAGGTTGAGGCTGCAGTGAGCCATGATCATGCTACTGCACTCCAGCCTGGGTGACAGACTGGACCCCATCTCATAAAATAAAATAAAATAAAATAAAATAAATAAATAAATAAATAAATAAAT